ACATGAGCCTACATATCAAATTGCAGACAAATCGGTGCTATCCGAAAAAATTGGGAGCTTTCACCCTATTTCTGCCTCCAGTGACTGGACTATTAGGACAAGACAAAAATTATATTAGGATTAATATGTGTTAAATATCTGTTTATATCTTAAATATATGTTTATATGTTTATTTTGATACTGACTATGCGATAGCTTTTTTCGGAAAGATTTAAATTGAATACTTTTAAACAATTCTATTTAACATAAAATTTCTTACTAATCTCCAGCGGAGGTTAGTATAGGTTAACAGGAAAGACCGAGAGACTATAATTATGAATTATGAATTATAATATTTACTATAGTAACAAAATTTTCATTTTTACAATTAACTATTAACTATTAATCACATACATCTAACACATGCGATCTCCGCGATGATGACAGCTGCTCACGAAGTAAGCGCAGCGAGAGAATCAATCGGCATCGCCGAAAAAAGGCAACAATATTTCGATATATTCGACTATCGATTTGCGTCTCCTTTTTTAGAAAGGATTCTCGTCCAATAAATAATAAAAAAAGAATTCTCGTTTATATTTCTACCCTCGTAGATAAGTCAGTTGTCTTTGTTTTACTTGTATATTTATTAAAATGAAAGGGCGAGTTACTGTATGATTTATGGCTGAAATCATTATTAAGTCTACATGGATTTTACACATGTATCTGAAGATTTGCGATTCGGTTTTGTTAAATGTCACCAGTTTGAATATCGGTGCACAAGTTAGGAGGCATTACCTACCGATGAGTCTCTTAATAAAAAAAATCACCCCTCCAGCATGTGCGTTAAGTCGTAAAATGATGTATATCGAATTGATGTTTCGTAAAAAGATGTTCCGTGATAAGATTTACATGATGTGATTAATCAATTTACTGCACTTTCGAAATTCTTATCTTACATGACACGCATTATATGCTAGAGCTTATGGAAATTTAGTCAGATTTATGGAAATAAATGTTATTATATAAATTATAATGTATAGTTCAGATATATAAATATTCACACGCAATTTTGATCACTGAAAAATTTGAATGTACCTCTACATGTTTTTAGTAATTTTTTTATTTTATTTTATACAATTTAAATAATTAAATACAATTGTCTTTGATTATTATTTTTTTTTTGCAAACATTTATACAAACAAATTTTGAATTTGTATAAAAATATTTATATACAGTTTTCATTTAAAGCTATTAATTTCAAAAGTTTTATTAGATTATCATTGTCTGCTTTAACAGAAAAAGCAGCTCAGTAAGCAAAAAAAAAAAGTGAAAAATGAAAAAATTTTTTTATTTTTCATTTTAATTTAACCACTTCCGCTCGCTTGTTAAATTTTTTATTTATAATATTTATATAATTGAATTAATTGATTTTTCAATCTCTAAAATTTTTCTGTTTTATAATTAATTTTCATCGTCCCAATCAGCATACAACATTAAAAAATATTTAAAAAATTTTTTAATATATTTATTTAATGTAAAAATATTAAATAAATAAATGTTATTAAATAAATAAATGTTAAAAAAATGTTTTTTAAATATTGTATACTGATTGAGGTATCATTCACAGCACTGGTATAATTTTAATAATAATTTGCTATTTTAGCTTTAATTTTGTAAAAATATAAAAACTATTAAAATTTCTTATTTACAATTTCTAAAATTTTAAATGTTCTCTTGAAATATATAAAATATACCGTTTCTTACTCTATGAACGTTCAGATTTGTTATTATACAATGAACATCTTCAGTCTGACATAATTATTTTTACAAAAAAAAAGAGATTTTGAGAGTGAAATTATGTATTAAAAAAAATAATTCCTATATCTTGTCAGACTCTCGAGGGTGACATAGATGCTCAATAGAGCAGACCCTTGATATAGGAGCAATCCTTTATATCTGCGGTATGTATTCCTATTCTTCGAATAAGGGAACATATGAAAATTATTATTTCTCACTTAGTTATTCCTCATCGTTTTTCATCATCTTTGTAGGCCAAATTGACATTTCCATCATTCTCTTCCAAGGGTATGGCTACATCATTATCTTCTTCCGGCATTTCCACATATTTGTAGAATATAGTCATCACGGCAAATATCACCATAACTACCGCCATCAAACCGGCATATAGGAAAATCTCGTACACCTGTGAAATAAATAAATAAATCATATGAAATGTGAAAATGGATATTAAGGCCAAAAATAGAATATATAATTGGTTACTTACTAGCCGCTCAAAGGGATGCGCACCCTTTACGATCACTACAATGAGATTGCCGAAGGCCACGCTCAGTAACCAACCCGCTTGCAGTAGAGACTTCATGGATACTGGAGCTTGAGTAAAAGCAAACTGCAGACCCGTTACAGAGAACATCACCTCGGCCATCGTGATGATGATATATTGTGGCAACATCCAAGCCATATGCAGCGAATTGGGTTGCGTGACCGTGATTGTTTTGCCAACAATCAACGGTTTGTTATTGTACGTAATGTTGGAACCTACCACGGTGTACACTCCACCGGATTTGAAAGGCACATTCTCGTCCAGCAGTGTTTCGTCTAGATAGACGTCATATTCACTTGGATCCTCGATTTCTTTTAACTTCGATTCGGAGAAATGAAAACTGACCGGAATTGATACTACCGTTGTCTTGTCCTCGTCTTTACGGAGCAACTTCAATGTGGCGTTATTTAATTCAGACTCAAGATAAATGAGACTGCGGACCATCGGCTTACCACTCTCCGGTTTGTTCACCGTGTCTTCATAGCTATATTCTAATCCCAAGGGCGTTATAACCCAAGATGTAGCAGTGGCCTCCTTGGCAGTTATTTTACCTGATGAGAAGTTATTTTTAAAATACATGTTACATTTTTCGAAATCCAAACTTCATGCATTTTACCTTGTTTATTTTTCTCCAATGTGGTGTAACCATTATTGTAGCAATCTGTGAAATTTGCTGTGTAGGATATGTTAATAGAGCCGTTTGCTTCTACTTCTAAAACTTCTGACATGTTTAGTGGATTTATTGTATTAATCGAGTTCTTGTTCGTAAAATTTAAACTCACTATACAATCCATTGTATTAAAAA